AAAGTTGCCATCCTTTATATAAACTACAATATTGTATTAAGAACTATAAACTTAAAATTAATATTTAAAGAGTTCGTTAAGAATTTGTAAATTATTTTTTTGATTAAAATTTTTTTCTAAATTTGTTTATTTTTGGCTTATAAGCAACCCAATCTTTTTTTCTTATAATATAAAATTAAATACTACTAGAATATAATTCTTATTTTCAAATATTATTAAAAAAAAATTTATTTAAATATTTTAAATTTTAAAAAAAGTAAATCATAAGCAATTTTCCAGGCAAATTTGCCTGGAATTGCCTGCAGTTTAAGGAATAAATTATTTAATTTATTTCAAATTAATTCAAAATATCCTGAAATATTTTGAATAGTATTTAATAAATTCGAATTAATTAGCTTTTCTTACTTATTAGTAGCTATTTTTTAGTTTATAAATATTTTGCTGTTTTAATGCATTTATGTCTATTTGAATTGTTTCAAACTAATTCGAAATATTGTGCAATATATAATGTAATATTGCACTATAAGTTTCGTAATTTTGTATAATATATTTTATAATATTATATTATATATTGCATAATATTTCGCAATTTATTGCACAATATTATGCCCAGACCGTAATTATTGCACAATATTTCGGGTATAATAACTTATATAAGATTACATTAATATATTTCGCTAATATAATAAAAAAAAATATAAATAGCAACTATTTCAATAATTATTTACAGGTCTTACAAGACAATAGTATTTTCTATATAATTTTTTTTGTTCATCACACAATCTACCAATCTAATGAGAATGTCTACTATCAGTAAAATATACAACAGCACTAACAGCTTTTGTTGATGCATCTTTATATTTAGATAATAATTTAAAAATATTGGTTATACAAAGATTTGCCTGATATACGAAATATAGAAGAAAAACCTAATCAGTATATTCTAATCGCATTCAACATCTAAATAAAAATTAAAAATTATTTATATATATTTTTAAATATATTTATTAATATAATTTTTAATTATATTTACTTTGCTGCAGTATATACAGAAGCACTATTTATAACAATAGCAATAATTTTAATACTATTCATTTCAGCTTATATAAAAAAATTTTTATAATATTATTAGTTTTGTTACCTTTTACTGAAATATCTTTAGGGCTATATACTAAAACTTTTCCTTTGCTAGTAATTAAAATATTTTTTAAAATTTCTTGAAAATAAGCATTTTTCCAACCATTAAATATAAGAGTATTATCTATTTTATACTTTTTAGAAGGAGGAAAGAAAACCAAGTGGTTCAAGAAGCTAAAAAAAGAAATACTATATTGCACTGCTTATAGTATCCAGGGTCTTATTTAATAATACAATTTTTAAAATTGAATAGTACTAGGTACTATTCACAAATCTGGCAATTTAATTGGTGGAAAAGGGGGTACTTTATATAGTAGAATATTATTTGAGGGGAATACTATAAGCAGTACAATACGGTAATTGTGAATATGAAGACAAGAGAAATTAAACCAGTATACAAAATCGAATCACATAACCACAATGTATCTATGTTAGCACTAAATCTTGTAAAAATAGACAAGAGGACAAAAGAATAAGTCATATGGGAAGACCAAGCCCATTCAGATATAAGAATTAGAAAAATCAAAGAAAAAGTAGGAAAGTATACAGAAGTAGAAAATTATACAGAAGGTAAAACAGTGCAAACACATATAGGTGCAAAAGCTCTAAAGTACAATCAAAGTTATATACTAGAATTAGTAAAACAAAAAAGCTGAGTGATATATCAAACATTATACAGAAAACTGAAAATGGCCTGCAAATAATATTTAACTCATACTATCTTGCTAAAGCACTGAGAAAGAAAAAACAAAAGACAATAGTAACCAAAAAAAAGATACGTGATAAGAAAAAAGAAGAGATATTATTAGGCTACACAAACTTATATACTTGGTTTACATATCATAGGACAGTGGTTGCTGACCTAGCCGCACAGCTTTTTTTTTTTATAATAAAAATTTTTTTTTTTAAATAATGATAAAAAAAGATTTATTAAAGCTTATTTTTTATAATTCAAACACTATTTATTTGTTTATTAACATTAAATCCTTTTTTTTATACAGTATCATGATGTTAATATACCATAAAACACTGGGTACTCAGGTATCCTACAAAATACCACATCCAATGACTTTGATCACGATCTTAAGCTATTCAAACTAAACTACTGCATACAGGTAGAGGTCTGATCCGATGAACAGTATATTCGATTCAAATGAATATTCGGATATCCGAACATAATTGTTTCACTGAATTGAATATTCGATATAAAAAGTTTTCATCTTGAATATTCAATGAATAGTCAGTGAATATTCGAATATTCATTTGAAAATTGCTGATAAATATTCAGATATTAAAAAGATTGAACAAATGAATAATCGAACACTTATTTTCAGCCAGATCAGACCTCTAGCAATAGGTTTTCCAATGTACTGGTATATTATATTAACGATATACAGATCACAGGACCGATGCTTTTTGTAACAAAGGCTAAGCTTCATAAAATTGAAACTAGGTAAGGCACAATCTCATATTCTGCTAAAGCAAGTTATACTACTATTAAATGTAGTAGGCATAAAAGGGGAGTTCTGGAACACTTTTGAGTTACCCATATCTATCTTGCATATAATTTAGCATTTGTGTCGTTAGTTTAATAAAATTATTTAGAACTCATTTATTTATCCAAATTCATATCAAAAAGGATATCATTTTGGCATAGTGGGTATAAATTTGTATTTGTATTGTCACTCAAATGACGATAAATTTGTGTTTGTGTCATCATTTTAGCTTAGTGATATTATTTTTTGTATATCTAAAATACAATCTTCTGCTCAAATTTATATCAAAAAGATAACAATTATTTATGC